AACCTTTTTCGGACCACTTATTTATTTATTTTGGCGACGATCCGACCTCCATGCTGCTACTCTGGTTCAAACGGCATCCACCAAACAATGATTTATCTCGACCTCCCCAAAATAACCAAAATTTGACATGGTGTGAGATGTCTTTTTTAGCTGTTCTGTCGTTATTTCCTGCAATCTTCTTCATGCAGTCAGTCAAAATGAATGAATGGGCGTTTCTTTGACTATTTATGGGCAAATATGGGCGTTACGTGAAGCCCGCAAAAGCTGCGGCGCATTTCGAGTCGATTGTGATTTATAAAGGGAAACAGGCGTAGGAAGTGCCGTACGCACTTCCCTCGCCGGTTCGCAATGTTTTGTGAATCGAAAATGTTCTGTACCTATTTTTTTGCTTTGTACTACGTAAGCAACCTTCCCACGTGAATCCTACGCAAGGCGTTATAAATGAGGCCCCTGAACATCAGCAGGAGAATACTCTTTAAAGTAGAGACACTACATACTGATATACACCTGAACAACAGCAGGAGAACTCTTTAAAGTAGAGCCACTACATACGGATATACACCCATATATATGAACCCATATCTAAATATAAGAGTCTGTAAAATAAAACCCACAATGTTCAAGGTTGTTTATCCTTAAACAAAAGTACAGGTTTAAAGTCCTTAAATAACACAAATGTACCCCAGTGTAAGGGATAACAGTGTTAGGAATATATTGTGATGAACAGGGACGTGCACAGGTACGGACTAATGTTGCCCGGGCATCGGCCCATTTTCCCTCTTTGGCTGACCTGCCCCTCTGGGAGAGCGAAAGTCTTTTTTTCTCTGTTGTGGCCGAATCAACATAATAAGCCCACAATTAGTATTGTAAGGCAAGGCAAGGCAAGGCAAGTTTATTTATATAGCACTTTTCAACACAAGGCAATTCAAAGTGCTTTACAAAAAATGAAAGAGATTAAGAAAATGGCATTTAAAATCAGTCATTAAAAAGAAAAGCTAATAAAATAAACATTAAAAGAAAAAAATACATGGCAGTCAATTAAACATTAAAAGAAAAAAGTACGCTGCAATAAAACACACCTTGTCAGCGCTCACATCTGCCACCAGTCACGTGACTTTGTTTACAATCTGACAGCTGGAAGCAAAGGAAAGCCCTCTGGCAGCCGGCCTCATATGGCTATGGTGATCATACCAATGCCTGCCTGGCTTTGGTGGCCAATCCCCGGCTCAATCTATCCCCGGAAATGTCCCCGTTTTTAAATATGCTTTATAAACACATAGCAAGGTGAAATAAAATTGTAACAAAGTTGATGTTTCAATGGCGTGGTGCTTGTTCGCAGCAATACAATTATTGTAACGTTAGCATTTAGCGTTAGCAGCCTCATTCTTCTTCTACTACTTATTTTACTTCTTCTCCTTCTTATATGTAATTGCCCACAAACTTTTGAATTAATATCTCGTTTCAGTGTGAACTCATTCCACAGTATGACCACAAAAGTGTTTTAAACCAGGTACGTTTTTATTATTTATGTTCTATATCGCTATCTGTGTGATTACATGTTTCACATATTGTATTGGTGCCGGTGCGTTAAAGACCCAGGGACGTGCACAGACATTTGGAGGGGCTATATTATTATCAGTATGTCTGCACAGCAGTTACAATGGTCAAACGCCATTGAAACAGAATTGTCCCCATATTTTATTTAATAGTTATAACATTACATATTGTAATGATAAAAACAAAAAATGTCCCTTATTTTCATTTTAAAAATCAAGTCACTGAATGCAAGTAGTTGCTTAGGAGTTAGCTTATTTTGTTATGAGACGATGATGTGAATTACTGTTCAAATTAGTTAATGTAATAATCGTTTGGTTATTTTATGCATAGCCTAATGTTACATTTCTGTGCTTAAGAATGCCTTCAGGACAGAGGAGACTGAAGCAGAGAGAGAGAGATCTGAAGGAGGCAGCTAAAAGGATTGCAACTTTGCAGAGCTGGATAAAAGGTGCCAGCAGGGCAGCTGCAGGTGAAGCACTGTGATTATGTCAAGCAACTACATAAGTTGGAGTACACTAATAACTCATTAAAACAAATATTTAAATCTGTGATAAATGCAAAGCCTCTATATGTGCTGAGTGAAGTTAATATTTCTCTGCTGGGGGCTAACTCGAAGCCTCCAGTTCAGAGCGCATTTGAGAGCTTGGTGATCTAGTAAAATACTACTACTAGCTGTAGTGTAATATGGATAAGATGGCCAGATAACTGGTTCACAAAGGCTTTATAACAGGTTGTAAATATTCTATACAAGTAGGCAACATATTTACCTTCTCCAATCTAAAATGTAACTGACTGCACTAGTATTCAGTTGTCTTTGTATGTTTTTATAGCAGTAAAGAATTAAGTGTATATGTTACTTAATTCTGATACTAATAATTCTGTTTAAGAATACGAATATATGTAAAATGTTTATTTTGGAGACAGCTCAATCTTTGAACTCCTTTATAGTGTGAAAAGGAGATCACAACAGTAATAATGCATTCATTATTTGAACACTTAGCAACAATGCCTTATAAAGAGCTCTAAAACATTTTCTTAATTGTATTTGATAGATGGTGAGCCTGAGACAAAACACAATGATGCCCTAGAACAGTTCAGACTCAGAGAATGAAGAAAGGATAGAAACAGAATCTGAAAATAAGAAGAAAGAGACAGGAATTGAGAATGAAGAGACAGGAATTGAGAACGAAAGACAGGATTGAGAATGAAGAGACAGGAACTGAGGACAAAGAGATGGAAGGGGAGGATATGGAGATTGAGAGGGAAGAGATTGAGGCAGTAACATCAGAGTCCACAAGAGTGAAAGCTCCTTCAGAATTTGTTTTTTTGCTACAGCTACCAAACCCCACCGATCCAGCCCATGTTCAGAAGAACAATATCAAGTACAATGAGGCCTTCGTCAAATTTTCAAACTCAATTGGACCCTGTGGTCCTCTGGTCCAGTTCCCAACAAATCAAGATGGGAAGTCTTTTCAGGGCCACTGGTATGATGAAAACCCCTGGTTGGAGTATTCTCCACAAAATGATGCTATCAGCATTTTAATGAATGACGATAAGTACAATAGTAGGTCTACATGGAAGTCTGGAGGTGTAAACAGGTGGAGGCAGGCAAAAGTAAGAATGAAGGAGCACTGCTGCAGTGAATCGCACATGATTGGCATGACCAGGTGGAATACATATAAGATAAAGCCATTGGACATGGCTTTTGCAGTAGCAGATTTGCAGATGCAAGCAGCAAAAGAAAGGGAGAGGCAGAAAAACAGAGAGATCATCTTCCGGTTAATAAAGATCACATTATATCTTGCAAGACAAGGCTTGGCCTTCAGGGGTAAAGATGAAAGGGGGGGGGGGGTGCCTTTTTCCAGTTTAGAGCAATAGCCCCTCCAAATGTCTGTGCACGTCCCTGGTGATGAAGTGAACACTGACCTGAGTTCTGGGGGTCTCTTTGTTCTCCTCCATGCTGCTCTCAGTGCTCCTTCTCCACCTGGGTCTCTGAAATAAGTATTAACACTACAGTCAACACAAAACCAATCTACAGCTAAGAAGTAGCTTAACAGCAGAGGTGGGAAGAAATTAACTCCATCCTGCTAGCAGGTTAGGATAAGATGGAAAGGCCTGCACTTCACGAACATAAACCCCGCCAGCGGCGAACAGTGTTTGTAGAAAACCACAGCGTCCCTACACCAAGCATCACTGATGTAAACAATCACACCGCCGCCGCGGCTCTTCCCCCCGCTAACCGTAGCTCTGTCTGAGCGGAAGCATGTTAGCCGGTCTAGGCTGAATGGCAGAGTCTGGGATGTTGTCATTTAGCCATGATTCCATGAAAACGTACACACAGCACTCTGTTACCCCACTCTGGGTCGACCAGAGTAGTCTTATGATGTTCATGTTATTGTCCAATGAGCTAACATTAGCCATGTTGCTCGGACTAGCGGGCCTGTGTGGGCTAGCTGCTAGTCTAGCTCGGATGCCTCCGCGCTTACCCCTCTTGTGCTTCCTCTCACACCGCTTGCGGCGTCTCCTATTCAGCACGTAGGTAGCAGCCGAGGTTGAACGTATCCCAAAGCCGCGGAGTACCTCTGCCAGCGTAGCGTCTATTATTTGTTTTGTTGTTATTTCCTTCTCCAGCAGGAACTCACGACTGTACTGTATACTCCTGACTGTACTATCGGTTCGGGATGTTAGAAGTTAACTAGACGAACACACGTTAAAAACACTAAAGACTCGGGAGAGCTAGCTGCTGCTGTCTGTGCTGCCATCTTGGGATCATTCCTGCTGTGAGGAATGATCGATGAACAGCTCCAAATACAAAAAAAGTACTAAGTATTATCAGTAGTAAAACAACTCTGTGTTATATTAAAAGTACTCTGTAATCTCAGTAGTAAAAGTACACAGTATTACCCGGTGTTTCTGCTACTCTTTGTTCGTCAGATTGTTGATGTTCACCGACTAGCATTAGCCACCTAGCATGAAGCAGATAAGGACCCGGATAAAGAGGTGGAATTGTTCTAAAGCTCCTCTCGTCTCTTCTTCTCCTGAGAGGAACGGGTTATATTCTAATATATGACAGTTATATATTAATGAGAGCTGATAGAGACTCCGACTGATGGAAGCTTTACAGCAACTGGATCCTGCCTGAGAGCCTGGTCGAGAGCAGAAGTACCCGGACGTGGGCCCAAAGAGCATGCGCAGTGGAGTTTTCCCGTAAGCCCCGCCTCCCATCTATAATCAGCAGCGAACCGCTTCAACATGCGTATTTCGGTGTATTCACGGCATTCATTTTGTTATTCTACAGTATTGTTGTTTTATAGTTATTTGTTCATGTAACCCAATTTGTGTTCTTTGAAATTGAAAAGGATAAGTTTGTTATTTTCGTTGCAGTTGTATGTCTTAAGTGTAATTTGGCTTGACATGCTTTTATTTTTAAGCAGAGGTAGCGCTGTTGACAGGAAGTTGTTGTTGCTATGGAAACAACGTGACGGAGATTAACGGAGAAAAGTAATATCTACAAGACGGAGAAAGTAAACAATAACGTTTATGGTTAAGTGTTAGCACCCCCCGAAGAGGCACAACAAGCTCTTACGTTGATATTGGAGTTTTCAATAAATTCAATTTTTAAAAAAAACAACAAACAAAACGAATATCCGAATAACGGCATTGAAACCCGAATAGTACTCCAACGAACGGATATTCGGTTACAGCCCTAGTATGTATAAATAATACTAGTGACAGTGACGTGAGCAGTTATGTGGAGATGTGACATGCAACGCGGATGTAAAGAGAATGTTGTGTTGATTCTCAGAATAAATGCCAGAAAACACCCCAGATGCTTCGCTGTCGTTTCCTGAATGATAACAGGTCACTTACGGTTGTGACCTGGGTTGCATTCCAATAGTCGGAACGCAACCCCGTTACCCCCCAGTACCTAGTCAGCGCCCCTAGTTACACCAATCAGCGTGCGATTACCGTGCGATTACCGCGTGCTAGTGGAGTAGAGTAAACGTCGGATAAACTGTGGCGCGCTTACACTAATTGCGCTGCATAAGCGCATAATAGTGCGCCGCATTTGCGCTTCAGATGAGGAGGTGAGGCCCCTCATAACTGCATGAACCTGTATGGCACAATACAACTCAGACTGGCTTACCTGTACGTCAATCAAGTGGCAAATGCCATAGTAAGGATGGATGATAGGCTAACTTTAAAAAAAAATAAAACATTTTTTATTTATTTTTTTCAAAAAAAAAAGTTCAATGCCATGCGATCTACCCACACTATCACATCTTCCTCCAGCTCAGTTCGGCCGTTCCCGGCGACCCGAGGGAGCGATGGCTACGGATTCGCCCCCCAACAGGAGGATTAAAAACAGGCTGTCCTCTAAGGTGGATCGATTAGCCGCCGACATGGACATGATGAAGTCGCTCCTCTTAGCCCTTCAGCCAGGGGCCGGTATAAGGGCTGCTGGCTTGTCGCCTGCCCCTCCTTCGGTTGCCGCACCTCTGCATGAGTATGCCATGTAACTAGCAGCCTCGGCTAACCTCTTCAATGAAGAGGTGGAGGACGAGGCCCCGCTCACTCCCGGGGAGGCTTCCCACTCCTCTGCTCAGGGCTCTCTGCAGGGCGTGGAGGACGCCTCCATGGCGGCCATTATTCGTGCGGCCCTGGCACACTTGCAGCTTCCGGTTCCGCAGGTCGACGCGGCTCAGGCTAGCGCCTTCTTCAGGCGTAGCCCTGCCCCTGTCCCCCTCACCGTTCCTCCTTCAGAGGAGTACCTGAGGGAGCTCCATGCATGCTGGAGAGACACCAAGGCCCTCTCCCGCTTTAGCTCTGATGCCCGGACCCTGGCTGCCATAAAGGATCCGGCGAGGCTTGGGCTGGGTCGCATGCCACCCATCGAGCCTGCCATCGTCTCCCTGATTCTGGCTTCTGATGAGGCTCTAAGGCCTGATGCCAGGTGCCCTCGGCCTCAGTGCAGGGTCACTGACGAACTGTTCTGTAAGGCCTACGACGCAGCGGCACGCATGGGTCGTATCAGGAACTCTCTCTCCCATCTAATGCTGGTCGCATCCGCCTTTCTGCAGCAGGCTTCGGCTGAGCCTTCTTTGCTAGGCCTCAGTGATGCATCACTGCAGGTCTTTGCCCTAATGACTAGGGAATTGGGACGACAGGTCCCTACAGGTGCAGACTCAATGCCAGGTTTGGCTGGCTCAGTCAGCACTAACGGAGACATGTAGGAGTGTCCTCCGCGGTGTGCCAGTCGAACCAGGGGAGCTGTTTGGAGCAGCACTAGAGTGTGCTGCTCAAGCTAAGCAGACCAGGCAGCAGCTCTCGGGCCTACGTAGGCCTGTGCCTACTACCAGCAGGCCCAGGGGCCCCTCTAGCAGCCGCACTCTGCCACTGGCTTACAGTGGTGGTCTGCGGAGGTCCCAGCGGTCCACTCAACCGCCTCCCAATGACTTTCGTGCCCCCGGTCACCGGCCCTCTAGGCAGCCCCGTGCCCCAGAGCCTTACCGCTGCCCCAATTCCCGGTGCCGGTCGTCGGCTGCTTTTCCCAGCAGCAGCTCAGCTACTGGGCTGCATGTACATCCGACCCTTGGGTGGTTTCCACCCTAACCCAGGGATACGAATTGCAGTTCCGACGCCGGCGCCTAACCTTCGGCCGGGTCAAGATGACAGTTGTCAGCGACCCGGCGAAGGCCTTAGCTCTGGCCCAAGAGTTGTCCGTCCTCTTGGCCAAGGGCGCAATCGAGCCAGTAGACCCCCTGCCTCAGTCCGGGGGGTTCTACTCGGCGTACTTTCTGGTGAGCAAGAAAGTCGGCGGATATCGTCCAGTACTGGACCTCAGAGGAATCAACAGATTCCTGAAGGTGCTGCCCTTCCACGTGCTGACCACCACAGACACCCTCCGTGTTGTCACACAGGGGGAGTGGTTCACAACCGCGGACTTGAGGGACGCCTACTTCCACGTGGCGATTGCGTCCCACCACCGGAAGTTCCTGAGGTTTGCCTTTCAGGACCAGCATTATCAGTTCCGGGTACTTCCCTTCGGTCTCTCCCTCTCTCCAAGGGTGTTTACCAGGGTCGTGACGGCAGCTCTCGCACCCCTGCAGGCACAGAGCATGAAGGTCCTGCCGTACCTAGACGACTGGCTGGTTTGTGCGCCGTCCCGGTCCCAAGTGGCCCAGGATACGGCGCGCCTCTTATGTCACGTAGCCCGGTTGGGCCTGACAGTAAACACCGGGAAGAGCTGCCCTCCCAACGGGTCACTTACCTGGGGTTGGTCCTAGATTTGGTCGCCATGAGGGCCTACCTGACACCTCGTTGTGTGGACGACATTTCCCACCTTCTCCCCATCTTCAGGCTGGGCAAGAGTGTGCCTTACATTCAGTACCTCCGGCTCTTGAGCAGACTGACGGCTGTCGCTGAGGCCAGTTGCACAGGCACAGGAAGGTCAGGATGTCGCACCAGTGCCTTCACTCTCTGTCACGCTGGAGAAACTGGGCCTATCTTCTGATGGGCGTGCCCATGGGCGCCATCCCGCCGGGAGACTGTCACTATAGATGCATGTCTCTCAGGGTGGGGTGCGGTGTGGCAGGGCAGGACTGTTCAGGGTCTGTGGTCCGCCCAGGAAGGTGCATATCACATCAAAGTGCTAGAGCTTCACGCTGTGCTGCTTGCGCTCAGGCACTTTTTACCCCAACTGACGGACAGGAATGTGCTTGTTCGTTCGGACAACATGTCCGCGGTTTCCCAGATCAACCACCAGGGGGGCACCAGGTCCGCACAGCTGCTCCAGGTTTCACAGAGCCTCTTATCTTGGGCGTCTCCCCGCTTGGCCAGCCTGCGAGGAGTCTTTCTACCAGGAGACCGAAATCAGGTGGCAGATTTCCTCTCTCTGCACAAACCTCCACCAGGGGAGTGGAGGCTTCACCCAGAAGTGGTGGAGACAATCTGGAGCCTTTTCGGCAGGGCCGAGGTGGACCTCTTTGCCTCAGAAAAGTCGAGGCACTGCCTCCTCTGGTTCTCCTGGACAGAGGTGACCAGCCCAATGGGGCAGGACGCTCTGGCACACGACTGGCAGTACGCCAGACAGTCTCCTGTACGCCTTCCCGCCGCTGTTATTACAGACGCTTCAGAGGTCCTTACTCAGGGGCACAGGCTCCTTCTGGTCACCCCCCGCTGGCCGGGGAGAGTTTGGTTCCCACTGCTGCGCAGTCTCTGCTGCGGCCCACCATGGCGCCTCCCCGACAGAAAGGACCTTCTGTCACAGCTCAGGGGTCAGATGTGGCATCCCGACCCTCACCACCTTCAGCTCTGGGCTTGGCCTCTGCGGGGCCCAACCTACTGTTGAGCGTTTTAACGGCATCTGTCAGGGAAACTATCCTGAATGCCAGAGCACCATCCACTCGAGCACAGTACGAGTGCAAATGGAAGCTCTTCTCCCACTGGTATTTGGGTAAGGCTGAGAATCCGGGGCATTGCTCTGTGGCCACCATTCTGGAGTTCCTGCAGTCCCATCTGGATAGTGGACGTTCTCACTCCACTTTGAAGGTATAAATGGCTGCTATCTCTGCCCAACATGTCGGGGTCGACGACGCCACGGTGGGGCGCCACAGGTCGGTGTCCCTCTTCCTGAGAGGGGCCTTACGGCAGCGTACCCCGAGGGCTCCGGATTGGGACCTGCCCCTAGTGCTAGATGTCCTATCATCTCCTCCCTTCAAGCCCCTGGCCCAGGTGGGGCTTAAGTGGCTGTCCTTGAAGGCAGAATTTCTGCTTGCCATAACCTCAGGGAAGCGAGTTGGGGAGTTGCATGCCCTCTCCATGAGCGATACATGCCTGAGGTGGAACTCCGATGGCTCGGGTGTTGCCCTCTGGCCGAATGTGGCGTTCCT